AGAAATATATATAATTGTCTGTATTTGCATTGTTTCAAGGTCTGACAGCTCATGGCAGACGGCAACGACAACTCACAACAAAACACTACAGCCAAAATAATGTCCTTTGCAAGCAACACAACTCATACACAAATCACACACAAATCACACAAACATCAGTCACACAAGAAAGGCAAAAAGGGAAACAAAAATAGAGAGAAAAACAAGGAATATCCGACAGACCACATATAGAGAGACAAGACACACACAGACACACACAGACACACACAGAGGCACACTTAGACAAGGCACACACACATAGACACACACAGACACGACACACACAGAAACACATAGACAAGACACACACACAGACACACACATATACAATAGACACTACAAACATAAACACGACACACCCAAACACACACAGACACACACAGACACGACACATCCAAAGACACAGAGACACACACACACACAGACACACATAGACAAGACACACGCATAGACAAGACACAATACACACACACATAGACACACATAGACAAGACACACACACACACAGACACACACACACACACACACACAGACACACACACAGACACACACTCACACACACACAGAAGTTTGAATATGATCAAACTTGTGTACAGTACATGACAGCACATTCCTCAGAGGTAAACAGGAGAGGGCACAGATACACACACACACACACAGACACACAGACACACACACACACACACACAGACACACACACACAGACACAGGAGAGGCTGATGCTGCTGCCGGCTTCCTAACGAGGCCATCACTCACTCTGACCGTCCAATTAGCCGCGGCGTGGTCAGGTGTCAGAGTCTGATCCCAGTTTGCGCCTTCTCCGCTCTTCAATGACGATCACTCCACTCACAAAACGCACAACTCACAAACGCACAACAAACACAGTCATTACGGTCTTAGCGCCTGTGTCTGATGAGGACTGGAGATGTAAAGAGAGACAGACAATTTTTAAAAATGTCTCTCAGATTGGGGAGGTTTGAAACTGCTGCTACTGCCTCGCCCTAAATCACAACAGTCGCTATCTCAGAGGACTTAAAAAAACATTGAAAGAGTGGTTTGCCCTTTCATTTCTCAGCAAAAAGCTCCGGAGTTCGAATCCCAGTAGGAACGGGGACTTTCTGAGCAGGTTTCCTCCAGGTGCTCCGGTTTCCCCTACCACTAAAAACATGCGCAATAGGTCTGAATGTAACGATTGCATGGATGGTGTTTGGTCGGAGGCTTTGATGGACCAGTGTGTTCAGCGTCTCACTTCTGTCATCACCGTGTGTGGAGAGAACGGAACTATATCTGAACTCTGAACATGGTAAAGCTTTGGGTGTGACCTTGGTCTGTAAAATGCGTTATATAAATAAACATTACTGACTTACTCACCACAATATCTGTCCATGAATCTCTGTGGTCTTGGCTTTTGTTTTCACCTGACGTTTGTTAGTATACATGGATTTTTCTTGGACATTTACAAAATTAATGAGCCATAGCAAACATGGATTAGCTCTTTTAAATGCGTTTGATCAACAGGTAAGAAATGCTCTGAATAATGTTTTTTCTTTTTTCATATTATGCTTTATATGTGTTTAGTGTAAAGTCTAGTACTGCCTGCACTTGTAACTAAATGTAGATGAAAACATTTGCATTATTTTCTTTAGGGGCGGGGTTAGAACAGAGGGTATTTTTGTCTAATCTGGTCTTTTCAGTCGTCTCGGAAAAAAATACAAATTCGTCAATTTTCCAAAAACAAAGAATTTTCCTCTTTCTTTTGTTATTGCCTTTTACAACCAATCATGTACTTTCATGTGACATCTCAAATTTCCTTTGAGCTCGTGGAAGACAGCGGAGAAATCTTTGCTGGTAACTATGGTAACCGTCAAAAGTCAGGCTTTGAGTTTGGATTGACTCAGAAATTGGCAAAAAACCCACAAAGTTCCACGTCTTTGTCACATATCAACTATTTTTCTGTCTAATTATTTTCTCCTGAATGTGTCGAGAAGCCGTGACATTATTCAAAAACAAGAAAGGACTTTCAGACGCCAGAATATGTTGGGTTTTCAATCTCGGGGCTTTCAACTAATGATCCGGAAAGCATTTGTCGAACATATCTCAACATTTCTATCAAACATTGTATTTGAAGTTTTAGTTTTATGGAAATCTGCCTTTCAGACAAAGTACAACATGGATTCATTTGTTTTCTATTATCTCAAAGTAGTAATATGTAAGATTTTCATGTTGAGTCATCATTAAAGGGCCCTAAACTGTCATCATTAAAGGGCCCTAAACTGTCATCATTAAAGGGCCCTAATCTGTCATCATTAAAGGGCCCTAAACTGTCACCATTAAAGGGCCCTAATCTGTCATCAGTAAAGGGCCCTAATCTGTCATCATTACAGGGCCCTAATCCGTCATCAGTAAAGGGCCCTAATCTGTCATAATTAAAGGGCCCTAATCTGTCATCATTAAAGGGCCCTAATCCATCATCAGCAAAGGGCCCTAATCTGTCATCATTAAAGGGCCCTAATCCGTCATCAGTAAAGGGCCCTAATCTGTCATAATTAAAGGGCCCTAAACTATCATCATTAAAGGGCCCTAAACTATCATCATTAAAGGGACCTAATCTGTCATCAGTAAAGGGTCCTAATCTGTCATCATTAAAGGGCCCTAATCCGTGATCAGTAAAGGGCCCTAATCTGTCATCATTAAAGGGCCCTAAACTATCATCATTAAAGGGCCCTAAACTGTAATCATTAAAGGGCCCTGAACTGTCATCATTAAAGCGCCCTAAACTGCCATCATTAAAGGCCCCTAAACTGTCATCATTAAAGGGCGCTAATTTGTCATCATTAAAGGGCTCTAATCTTTTATCATTAAAGGGCCCTCATCTGTCATGTAAAGGGCCCTAATCTGTCATCATTAAAGGGCCCTAATCTGTCATCATTAAAGGGTCCTAATCTGTCATCATTAAAGGGCCCTAATCTGTCATCATTAAAGGGCCCTAATCTGTCATCAGTAAAGGGCCCTAATCTGTCATCATTACAGGGCCCTAATCTGTCATCAGTAAAGGGCCCTAATCTGTCACAATTAAAGGGTCCTAATCTGTCATCATTAAAGGGCCCTAATCTGTCATCATTTAAGGGCCCTAATCCGTCATCATTAAAGGGCCCTAATCCGTCATCATGAAAGGGCCCTTATCTGTCATAACTGCTCTTTTCAAATACTTCTTTGTATTTGTAGTTCAGAGATTCATCTGCATATCTGGCAACCTGAGTGAGGGGAAGTGGGAGAGGCTGGAGTACCACTTTTGGCCACATTTTTACAAACTGCTCGATCCTGTTTGATGCACTACCTGAGAGCTTTTATTTCTTCTTTAATTCTGCTGCACTGCAAAAAGTGACAATTTTCTTGGATGGATGGAGTCAGAAATCAAGCAGCAGTTCTTGAAATAAGACTAAAGGATTTTGTCCCATTGGAGAATCTGGTTTACCACAGTCAGAATGTGTCAAGTTAAATAAAAACCACTCGATTCAAACCATTATTACCTTATTTTTTGTCCTTTTTTTGTAGTTTGTAACATGTGCAGTTGTGACATTGAACTTTCCGCTCTGAGGGACAGATAAAGGTTTTTCTAATGTCGGCATCAATGATCGGAGACAGCATCATTCCCTCGTGTCGTTGCCTCTTTACCTGAAAAGTCCACTTTAATCTCACATCAACTGGATGATTCCATGTCCTGGGAAGAGGAAGATCCATTTCAACAGTCTGCCAGCCAAAATAAATCCCCAGTTGTCACATTAGGTGAGTTGCAAAGTCCAGGAGCAGTGTGTCTGTTGTGGCTGTGGGGCCGGGTCCTCAGGGAGTGACAGGTGGACAGGTGCGTCTCTGTCACACTGCATTTAAACTGTTTCCATAGACCTCACACCGCTACAGGCAGCTGCTCCGCCCCAGTGCACCAGGACAGCTGAGGATTTTACACACCAGCCTCAGAGGTATGAGAGTATGGAAGTATGGAGGTATGAGAGTATGGAATTATGGAAGTACGGAGGTATGGAAGTACAGAGGTATGGAAGTATGGAAGTATGGGAGTATGGAGGTATGGAAGTATGGAAGTATGGACGTATGGAAGTATGGAGGTTTGGAAGTATGGGAGTATGGAAGTATGGAGGTATGGAAGTATGGATGTATGGAAGTATGGAGGCATGGAAGTACGGAGGTATGGAAGTATGGGAGTATGGAGGTACGGAAGTATGGACGTATGGAAGTATGGAGGTTTGGAAGTATGGAGGTTTGGAAGTATGGAAGTATGGAGGTTTGGAAGTATGGACGTATGGAAGTATGGAGGTTTGGAAGTATGGAGGTTTGGAAGTATGGAAGTATGGAGGTTTGGAAGTATGGACGTATGGAAGTATGGAAGTATGGAGGTTTGGAAGTATGGGAGTATGGAAGTATGGAAGTATGGAGGTTTGGAAGTATGGACGTATGGAAGTATGGAGGTTTGGAAGTATGGAAGTTTGGAAGTATGGGAGTATGGAAGTATGGAAGTATGGAAGTATGGAGGTTTGGAAGTATGGACGTATGGAAGTATGGAGGTTTGGAAGTATGGAAGTATGGAAGTATGGAAGTATGGAGGTTTGGAAGTATGGACGTATGGAAGTATGGAGGTTTGGAAGTATGGAAGTATGGAAGTATGGAAGTATGGAGGTTTGGAAGTATGGAAGTATGGAAGTATGGAGGTATGGAGGTTTGGAAGTATGGACGTATGGAAGTATGGAAGTATGGAAGTATGGAGGTTTGGAAGTATGGACGTATGGAAGTATGGAGGTTTGGAAGTATGGAAGTATGGAAGTATGGAAGTATGGAGGTTTGGAAGTATGGAAGTATGGAAGTATGGAAGTATGGAAGTATGGAAGTATGGATGTATGGAAGTATGGAAGTATGGAGGTATGGATGTATGGCAGTAGGATCACGTTAGTTCAGTTCTCAGGTCTCTTTGGCCGTGCACGCTCTTTGGTCGTGCGCACTCTTTGGCCGTGCGCGCTCTTTGGCCGTGCGCGCTCTTTGGCCGTGCGCACTCTTTGGCCGTGCGCACTCATTGGCCGTGCGCACTCTTTGGCCGTGCGCACTCTTTGGCCGTGCACGCTCTTTGGTCGTGCGCACTCTTTGGCCGTGCACGCTCTTTGGTCGTGCGCACTCTTTGGTCGTGCGCACTCTTTGGCCGTGCGCACTCTTTGGTCGTAGTGAATTCTTGAGTGTGTTGCGTTGGCTGCATCTCTGGGTGATCTGGCTTTGATGGATTTGAGCTAAAAAGCTGCAGTTGTTTGGTGCAAGATGGACTCTGGTGTTTGCTGTAGTCTCATAAATATTGTGAGGATTCATAACAATAACAAAACTGAACCAAACATTTATTTTTTAGTCCAGGCTCAGCAACGGTTGGTGCTCTGTCTCCTCCGTCTCTTTTTAGTCATTCTGACCTGTGTTTTAGAACAGTGTTTTCGAGCCACGGCACATCCTTTTCAATTAATAAAAAAGACAAAAGAGTCAAAACTGTTGAAAGTAAAACCACTGTATCTTAATAATAAAATACATACACTCCAATAACTGTGATATAATCTTTTTTCAGATAAAAACTTGCTTATTATTCCTTACAACAGCCACACTTGTTTATGTAGCCGGGATCAAAAACCGAATCCCAAAGTTTCCACATATAAAAAGCAAACTTGGCCACCCCAGCACTCGGATCCGAGAGGGAGAGCTGACAGTTCATCGCAGACAATGCTAATCCGTTAGCTCAATGAAACCCAACAGGGAAGTGCTCATGGCCAAGATTTTTGTCCAACCGGCTTTGACTCCCTTACAAAGCATTCTCTCTCTCTCACATTTTGGGCTGAAGTATCTGTGTTATAACTTCCTGGATCCCGGAGGTCGTAAATCCAGATATTAGCCCTTGACACGGATCAGTTGTGTTCCAGAAGTGTTGTTTTAGATGGTGAGCGAGAATGGATCAGATTGTGCTTTAATCTGGAACAGTCTTCCTGAAGATGTGAGACAGGCTTCTTCTCTGATAATGTTCAAATCCAGATTGAAAACAGTTCTTTTAGCTGCTACTTCTGAGGGCATTGTGTATGAAATGTGCTATACAATTAAACTTGACTTGTCTTGCCATCAGTGATTGGCTCAGTCTCCCTGATTGGCCCGTCAGTTACTAAGCCGTTGCTACCTAAGAAAAAAAATAAGTAAGAAACTGCTTAAAATGATAAAAAAGTATCTGCAATAGAAGAAGAAACTATGAATTAAGATTTCTGACAATAATAAAGTAGTTCTGGCTCCAAACTTTTTTACTGATTCTGGTTTAAAAACATATATTTCAAGTTGTATTTACTTATTTTTTTAACCTTTCTGAGACAAGTTTTTAAAAAATTTAGCATCACATACGTATTTAATGTAAACAAGCGCAATGGCTAAAAGACACTAAGACTAAGTGACACTAAAATACGAACAAACCTCTGTCAGGTTCTCTGTCAGTTCCTCTTTCAGGTTCTCTGCCAGGTTCTCTGTCAGGTTCTCTGTCAGGTCCTCTTTCAGGTTCTCTGCCAGGTTCTCTGTTAGGTTCACTGTCAGGTTCTCTGTCAGGTTCTCTGTCAGGTCCTCTTTCAGGTTCTCTGTCAGGTTCTCTGTCAGGTTCACTGTCAGGTTCTCTGTCAGGTTCTCTGTCAGGTCCTCTTTCAGGTTCTCTGCCAGGTTCTCTGTCAGGTTCTCTGTCTGGTGAGGTCGAGCTGTTTTAGTTTACATTGAGTTCTATGGAAATTTTTCCGGGTAACTTCTTTAGTCTGCAGTACCACAGCGCCCCCTGTGGCCATTGGTGGAACAGCTATAATCTATTAATAATCTATCCAGATGTTATTATAGATCCTGGAGGTTCTGTAGATTTTTCTGTTTTAGGCAAACGATACATCAGAGGTTAGTCCACTGCTTCTACGCCCACACAGAGCAGAGAAAGGACAAACATTTAGATTTGAGGTAAATTAGGTCAAATTGGACACTTTTCATGGCACACCTGACAATAAATCCAGCCATGCTAGAGTTTGAAAGAGGCTTTTTCACCGCGACATGTCGTCATTAAACATTACTCTGTCATGTATCGTTTTCATTCCATCTCAAAACCTTCCGACTCTTTGACACGACTCTCGTTTCAGTCCGTCTCGAGTCTGTCTGATCTCTTCTTCTCTCAGGGTCGACTCGCTCTCAGCCGAGTGTCAGGTCCAGCTCTGGGTCTGTTTAAAGTTAGTCTGTGAAGAGCAGGAGATGAAGGCCGTGATTATTGAGCCATTTCTCAGTCAATGAAGCCACAAACACGATCAGACAAGATTCTAAATAGGTTGTTATAGATTGGTGCGACAGTAGCTCAGTTGGAAGAGCATTGGCCTTTGAGCCGTGGGTTCGAGCCCCCTACAGGACCTTCTCCACCGACTGCCACTGATGTCTGCTGCCATTGTGTCCTTAGGCAAGACACTTCACCCCCATTGCCTAGAATGAGTCTGGTGTGTGTGTGAATGGTTGGTGGTGGTCGGAGGGGCCGATGGCACAGACTGGTTGCCTCGCTTCTGTCAGTGTGCCCCAGGGCAGCTGTGGCTACAGTAGTCGTTTATCCCCACCGTGTGTAGTTTCCAAACAGTGAAGCCGTGTAGTTGACGCTCTCATAATCCATAGTGTGTAAAGTGAGTGAATAAATCCAGGGAACAGTAAAATGCAATTAAAAACTCTTTACTCAGTATTCACAAAACAAAAACACATACTGTACAAAAAGAAAAGAACTAGAGGAGAAAGTATATCGAGAGTTGGGAGAGAGGTCAAAAAACTGTGTGGCTCCACTCCACACTCCACGCTTCCCCTGGCACACCTGCGCCTTAACTATCCATCCATCCATCCATTTTCTACCCTTTAATCCATTTCTGGGTCAGGGGACCCAGAAATATAAAAATATATATTAAATCAAAATGAATCAATGATTAACTTTAGCAATTATTATCAACAAAACAGCTAACTAAATTAGATGCAAAATATCCAAATTAAATCAATTGCCAAATAGTCATGATTCAAATGTAATCACAAAATCATATATTTCAATCAAATAATAATACAAACAAATAGAAATGTATCAAAATAAAATAAAAACAACTAAACCTCTATTTAGGCTCCAACACCGTGTTTGGAGTGAATGGATAATGATGTGAAGCGTCTTTGGGCGTCCAAAAAAGCCCTATATAAAAGCATTTTTATTATTATTATTATTATTATAATAGATTCTAAATAAATTGGTTTCTCAGGGCCGTGTTCATGAATCTAGTTTTGTAAAGTTATAGGAGTTTGGTCATGGTGTGGATTTTGTTTTGTACTTATTTTGACTTTGAGTTTTATTTTAGTCTGACTTCCTGTTGATGCCCCGCCCTCTTGTTATTTCACCTGTGTCTATTCGTACCTGTGCTTCCTCTGCCCTTGTTGTCTTTGATGGTCTACTGTATGTCCATGGTCCTGGTTCCCATGTTTTACTTTTACATTGGACTTTTATTTTTCATCATTAAATCCTTATTATTTTTGCGTTCCTGTGTTTTGAGTCCTCTTTCTCTCCTCTACATGACAAGTTCATTCACATTTATAGTTTTCCCCGATGCTTTCTGCTTCGCTCCCCGGCATCACAGCGTCTGAATGATAATATCCCGGAAAACTGTGTAAACAAAGTAGAGAACGGCATAAGCAGTCTGTGGTCGGAGCATTCATTAAAACTGTGTATATGTAATAAGAGCATAAAGCCGGTGAGAAGATTTGACTTTGCTGCTGCTGTTTTCAAGATCAATGAATGCCGTACAGTTATGGAGACTTTATCTGCTTTTGGAATTGTTAAATTAGATGTTGATGTCTGCTTCTGTGCTCCCAGCCTTTGCCTTTTCTGTCCTCTTTAGGCATCAGTCCGTATTGTACAGCCTGATTCCTGGATCTATGCATCTGTGGGATTCAGTTGGGTCCCCGAGATGTTACACACTTCATTCCTATTTGGTTTTCTGGGTTGTTCTGTGCTGATGCAGGAGGGTTTGAAGGATATTTATGTACATTTAAATTCAATTAATTATGAATTTATCTTATTTGCTATCCACGGGTTATATTGACCTGCCACAGTGATTAAAACATTTCCTAAATATGTATTTTTATAGCTGAAATGTGATGAACTTGACCAGACCTTTTGACCGCATTTTAGGATATTTTTCTTCTACTTTGAATCACTGTGGTTCGTCAGTTTGATCAGAAAATAGCAAAAGGGTTACTTCCCCCTGCCCCTTCTCTCCAAATGCCTGAATGTCCCATATTTAAAGGAGCAGTGTGTAAAAATGTGGCCAAAAGTGGTACTGCAGCCTCTCCCACTCTCCCTGACTCAGGTTGCCAGATATGCAGACGAATCCAGCTGGGACCATAACAGCTGAATAGACAAGAGTTTTGTCAACAACAAATCTATAACCAACACCTTTTTCACAAAGATAGAAATCCTGTTTTTTTTTCTCCATGTTTTGTCGTTAATGATTTGAGAATCATAACGAGACCTTTTTTAGTTCTGTGCCACATGGTACTTTACCAGTTAGCTCCACACGGTGAGTTCCAGGGCCGGGATCATGGACTTTCTGATTGGTGAAACGGTGGAGGGAAATGAAAACAATAACAAGATTTAGAGGCTGGAAAAGTAATTTAGAAATTCCAATATCTCTGAACTACTGTTATCAGTTAAAGAAGGATTGGAAAAGAGCAGTTTATTATTATGACAGATTAGGGCCCTTTAATGATGACAGATTAGGGCCCTTTAATGAGGACAGATTAGGGCCCTTTAATTTATGACAGATTAGGGCCCTTTAAAGATGACAGATTTGGGCCCTTTAATGATGACATATTATGGCCCTTTAATGAGGACAGATTAGGGCCCTTTAATGAGGACAGATTAGGGCCCTTTAATGATGACACATTAGGGCCCTTTAAAGATGACAGATTAGGGCCCTTTAATAATGACAGATTAGGCCCCTTTAATGATGACAGATTAGGGCCCTTTAAAGATGACAGATTAGGGTCCTTTAATTATGACAGATTAGGGCCCTTTAAAGATGACAGATTGGGGCTCTTCAATGATGACATATTATGGCCCTTTAATGTTGACAGATTAGGGCCCTTTAATTATGACAGATTAGGGCCCTTTAAAGATGACAGATTAGGGCCCTTTAATGATGACATATTATGGCCCTTTAATGAGGACAGATTAGGGCCCTTTAATGAGGACAGATTAGGGCCCTTTAATGATGACACATTAGGGCCCTTTAAAGATGACAGATTAGGGCCCTTTAATAATGACAGATTAGGCCCCTTTAATGATGACAGATTAGGGCCCTTTAAAGATGACAGATTAGGGTCCTTTAATTATGACAGATTAGGGCCCTTTAAAGATGACAGATTGGGGCTCTTCAATGATGACATATTATGGCCCTTTAATGTTGACAGATTAGGGCCCTTTAATTATGACAGATTAGGGCCCTTTAAAGATGACAGATTAGGGCCCTTTAATGATGACATATTATGGCCCTTTAATGAGGACAGATTTGGGCCCTTTAATGATGACAGATTAGGGCCCTTTAAAGATGACAGATTAGGGCCCTTTAATAATGACAGATTAGGGCCCTTTAATATTGACAGATTAGGCCCCTTTAATGATGACAGATTAGGGCCCTTTAAAGATGACAGATTAGGGTCCTTTAATTATGACAGATTAGGGCCCTTTAATTAGGACAGATTATGGCCCTTTAAAGATGACGGATTAGGGCCCTGATCTAAATTTTAGACCGAGGCCAAAATACAGCACATGCTTTGACAAAGAAATGATAGAACCGTAACTGCTTTATTTGAACTGGCGCCCGGATATTTGTGGTCTGAAAATCAGGTACCCCAGCTTTAATGTAAACAAATTCATCCATGTTTTTGCCATTTCTAACCCAGAAGAGATTGACACACGCAGCAGAAGATTCACACACACGATCTCTGACAATAAACATACTCATTATCGCTCGCTTCTGATGCAGATTTGGAATAACATCAGCCTGGAGTATTTCACCAAATTGCCGATCGCTTTGACCTAGATTGCCGATCGCTTTGACCTAGATTGCCGATCGGCTCAGACCAAAAGTCCTGACACCTCTGGCTGCTTCTGTTTTGCCTCAGACCAGATCTGAGCCGATCTCGAGGGACCTGAGGCTGTTCTGTGACGAGAGCTGAGGCTTTGGTTCAGGTCTCCCCCAGTGCGCTGCTGATTCTCCTCCTCTGCATCAACCTCTCTTCCTCTCTCTGTTTCTCTCTCGTTTCCTCTCACTTCCTCTCTCTTCCTCTTTCCCTCCCTCTCCCTCCTCCTCTCTCTCCCCTCTCTGCCTTCCTCTCTCCTCCCTCACCCCTCTCTGCCTTCCTCTCTCCTCTCTCTCCCACTCTCTTCCTCTCTCTCTCCTCTTCTTCACTTCCCCCTCCTCTCTCCCCCTCCTCTCTCTCCCTCTCTCTTTTCCTCTCTCCTCTCTCACCCCCTTTCTCCTCCTATCTTTTCCTCTCTCCCTACCCCTCTCTATCCTCCTCTCTTCCTCCCTCCACACCCCTCTCTATCCTCCTCTCTTCCTCCCTCCACCTCCCCCCCTCCCCTCTCTCTTCCTCTCTCTCCCCTCCTCTCTCCTCCTCTACTTCCTCTCTCCTCCTCCTCTCTCTCTCATCCACTCTTTCCTCCTCTACCTCCTCTCTCTCATCTTCCTATCTTCCCACCTCTCTCTCTCCTCCTCTCTCCTTCCTTCATCGCTCCTCCTCCTCTCTTCTCTTCTCTCTCCTCATCTTTCCCCTCCTCTCTCCTACCCCCCTCTCTCTCCTCATCTTTCCCCTCCTCTCTCTCCTCCCCTCCTCTCCTCTCTCTCCTCCCCTCCTCTCCTCTCTCTCCTCCTCTCTCTCCCCTCCCCTCTCCCCTCCTCTCTCCCCCTCGTGCTCTCAGTAGAATCTCTCTAATCGAAGGTCAGACAGGGCGACCCAGATTAAAGGAGCCGGAGCCCGAGGCTGGAGTCTACAAAAGCATGTTTACTTTACAAAGGCGTACAGTGTGAGAGGGGACGCAACGGAAACAAGCACAGACGGTTTAAAGGGCAGATATGTAAAACGTACAGCTTCCTTCTATACAAAAATATTAGTTTTTCTCTTCTTCCATGATCTTTCAATGGTAACGCACAGTATTTACACATGTAGACAATACAAACATAGACATTTAACCTTCTTTACTCCTGTACAAGCCTGAGATTCATTTCCATTTTACCTGCCATTTGCAGTCAAACCACATTGGAATACATGCGCAAAAGTCCCCAGTCTGCAATAGACAGGGGTCGCCAGTTTGGCACCCAGCAAGCGGACTTTCTGATTGGTGAAACGCTGGAGGGGCGGGACATCAAATCTAGTCCAGCGTGACCGTCCTGGACTAGATTATCAGCAGAAGCAACAGTAGAAGCACCAGAAGGAGGACGGGGGGCGGCGAGGCTCTTTAAATATTCACATTTCTCCACAAAAGTACCCAGTGTTTGTGGTCTGTGGCTGTAGTGCTGTTCTGGACTCAGGTAAACAACTGCTGTAGCCACAATTGCCCTGGGGCGAACGTTGGAATCCACACAGTGCGTAGCCGGATGTGTGTTCTGTGGTCACTGCGATGGGGGAAGCAGCTGTACTCTTCCGCAGACTGACACTGCACATGGACACTACTGTACAAATGTGCACTCTAGTTCTGTAAGGAAAAGGTCTGGATTATTAGGCCTACACCACATTACTTTTATAAGTAAGTAAGTAAGTAAGTAAAGTTTATTTATAAAGCGCTTTTCACAGATAAGAATCACAAAGTGCTGTACAGGACAGTGGACAAAGACGAAACAATATAAAATACATTTACACACATGTACGTAAAAGTGACACTAGTGAGAACCCAATCAACTAAAAGCTTTCTTAAAAGTCTTCAAGCCTTTTTTAAAAGAGTCCGCAGAGTCGGCCAGACGTAGGGACAGGGGCAGGGCGTTCCTCAGTCTGGGGGCAACAGACTGAAAAGACAGGTCCCCTCTACTCTTATAACATGTTATCAGTTATTATGTATAAGTGTAAGCATGTGTAGGAAGTAACCTTGCCTGCAAGCTGAATTCTCTCGGTATTTGTGAGTTCACAAACACTCGAGAATACATCTTGTCCCGCTCCCGCCGACCCTATTCGAGTAGAACATCTAGGTGTTCAAGCCAATCACGCGCCAGTCTGGGGGTTTAGGGCGGGATATCCGGGTTTGACGAAAGCAAGAAGTGCCGGGCCGAAGCAAAACAAACATGGCTACGCAGGAGGATGGACGCGTAGCTGAGGCTATCAAGTCAGTTTTAGCAGAATCTCCCATTTCTTTTTTGAAAGATGAACAGCGAGAGGCGCTTTGTGCATTTCTGGACGGCAACCTTGGTAGGCGGGCACACAGCGTCACTTCGCCCAATCAGCTTGAAGTATTCTGCTGCTTATCCCTCCTTTCCCCGAAAGGATTCTCCTGCAGAGGTCCCAGATTGATATTGTGGAGAACGCATTAGAGTTCTACACAATCATCAATCTGGCTCTTGCCAGGTTATGTAGGAAGTGTCAAGTTCAAAAACACCAAACTCTCTTTGAAACTTGTCCTAAATAAATTATTTAAGATAAGATAAGATAGACTTTATTGATCTCACGCAGGAGAAATGTAGATGTCACATCTGGCATGGATAGAATCACTCAAGATTGTGCAAAAAGAAAGAAATGTGCAAATATGATAATGCAGGATATATTATGTACAATGAAAAGTGGCAATCAAGAAGCAGTGTCAATAGTAGTGCAGGTTGTGGTCCAAGGGCACAGGGGGTGTGTCGCTGCAGGGCCAAAGGGCACAGGGCGTGTGTCGCTGCAGGGCCAAAGGGCACAGGGCGTGTGTCGCTGCAGGGCCAAAGGGCACAGGGGGTGTGTCGCTGCAGGGCCAAAGGGCACAGGGCGTGTGTCGCTGCAGGGCCAAAGGGCACAGGGGTGTGTCGCTCGCTGCAGGGCCAAAGGGCACAGGGCGTGTGTCGCTGCAGGGCCAAAGGGCACAGGGCGTGTGTCGCTGCAGGGCCAAAGGGCACAGGGCGTGTGTCGCTGCAGGGCCAAAGGGCACAGGGCGTGTGTCGCTGCAGGGCCAAAGGGCACAGGGCGTGTGTCGCTGCAGGGCCAAAGGGCACAGGGGTGTGTGTCGCTGCAGGGCCAAAGGGCACAGGGGTGTGTCGCTGCAGGGCCAAAGGGCACAGGGGGTGTGTCGCTGCAGGGCCAAAGGGCACAGGGGGTGTGTCGCTGCAGGGCCAAAGGGCACAGGGGGTGTGTCGCTGCAGGGCCAAAGGGCACAGGGGGTGTGTCGCTGCAGGGCCAAAGGGCACAGGGGGTGTGTCGCTGCAGGGCCAAAGGGCACAGGGGGTGTGTCGCTGCAGGGCCAAAGGGCACAGGGCGTGTGTCGCTGCAGGGCCAAGGCAAAGGGCACAGGGCAGGGTGTGTCGCTGCAGGGCCAAAGGGCCACAGGGGGTGTGTCGCTGCAGGGCCAAAGGGCACAGGGCGTGTGTCGCTGCAGGGCCAAAGGGCACAGGGCGTGTGTCGCTGCAGGGCCAAAGGGCACAGGGCGTGTGTCGCTGCAGGGCCAAAGGGAAGCGTTTCTTACGGGAATAATTCCTTCTGTTCTGACCCTCGCTCTCACAGTGATTGCAATAATACTTCAGACACACACCACACACACACCACACCAACACACACACCACACCAACACACACACCACACACACCACACCAGCACACACACCACACACACCACACCAACACACACACCACACACACCACACCAGCACACACACCACACACACCACACCAACACACACACCACACACACCACACCAGCACACACACCACACACACCACACACACCACACACACCACACACACCACACCAACACACACACCACACACACCACACACACCACCACACACCACACACACCACACACACCACACCAACACACACCACACACACCACACACACCAACACACACCACACACACCACACACACCACACACACCACACCAACACACACTTGTATCCAGCATGGCACCGGTCCCTATGCTCGTACTCCACACTTTCCATTCTTACTCATGCACTTATTTCTCAGCGCTCTTACGCCCGTTTCTAAAGTGTGTGTGCACTCGTGTCTGCGGCGCGCGCACGTACACACACATGTTACTCACTGAACTGCTGCGCTTTGCATCAGAGCAATATGAACAAGTGTGAGATGTGTCTTTCCCTAAACAACGAGATCTGTACTGAGCTGTTAGCTACAGTAGCAGACCATAAACTGGAAGAGAAACGGAAACTCAACTCGGACAACGTGGTAGTCGCTGGAGTTAGTATTAGCGCCACCATTTGGACCGAGTGTTGTACTGCAGCTTCGTTACTCTGGCACGTTTGTGTGACCGCGGGCCGTTTTCACACCCCTGTGGCGACGATCCGGGCCACTTGGCCCAGCTTGTTTGTAAAAGCCCATGTGACCGCGCCCTTATATTTCATGTTTTATTATCTTAAACGGTTCCCTCCTCAGTCCCTGCAGTAGCCTGTTTAGCTTCAGGCTCGTACAGCGGCCACACTCCGCCTCCACCAGATCTTTCGTTACAAGTTTTATAAAAAGCTGTTGTGATGACTGGTTCGTTCCACTTTGAAGCGACAAAAACCGACTGAAAAATGCCTTTTTTGACACTTCTTGTCCCGACACAGTCCTCTTCGTCCTATTTTTAGATCAAAACTTGAACCAAAACGCAGCGAGAATCGAAATGACACAAATAAAACGTCTGATTTCTCCTGCTTCAGTTTCCACAGGGCTGTGACAGAGCATTAGGTTCTCTGTGTGTTCCCCTTATTGTGGGTGAGGGGTGAGTAGAGGGAGCAGCAGGAGCAGAGGGAGCAGAAGGAGTAGAGGGAGCAGCAGGAGCAGAGGGGATCAGCAGGAGCAGAGGGAGCAGAAGGAGTAGAGGGAGCAGAGAGAGTAGAGGGAGCAGAGAGAGTAGAGGGAGCAGCAGGAGCAGAGGGATCAGCAGGAGCAGAATGAGCAGCAGGAGCAGAGGGATCAGCAGGAGCAGAATGAGCAGCAGGAGCAGAGGGATCAGCAGGAGCAGAACTCTCACCTGTCAGACCAGCTCAGACTCTGCTGTTGCCATGGTGACGCAGACAGTGTTGTCAGAGCAGCAGAGACACTGGATGTGATGTGTCTTTCTGCTCTGGGCTCACGGAGAATATCATCATCTTAAAGTTCAGCTCCTCCTCAACACTTTCATGTTCTTCTGCTTTAGTCACTTCTGTTTCTCCATATTTAGCGCTGGTCAGAAACAGAGTTTGTCCTTATTCTGGTGTGTTTCTTATATAAAAATAAATATATTCAGATTTCTGTATTCAGGTTGTTTCAAATCCAGAGACTGCTCCAGGAAGAAGTTCTCACACAACACAGACTTTCACTACTTTTAGAAGCAAAAACATTTACAACATTAAGTACGAATGATGTATTTGGAAAGAAAATGAAGAGGAGGAGGAAGGAGAAGAAGGAGGAGGAAGAAGGAGGAAGGAAAAGAAGGAGGAGGAGGAAGGAGGAAGGAAAAGAAGGAGGAGGAGGAAGGAGGGAGGAAAAGAAGAAGAGGAAGAAGGGGAAGAGGGAGAACAAGAACAAGATAGAGGAGAAGACAAAGACGGAGAAAGATAAATGTACACAGGGTATATGTACACAGGGTATATGTACACAGGGTAAATGTACACAGGGTATATGTATACAGGGTAAATGTACACAGGGTATATGTACACAGGGTATATGTACACAGGGTAAATGTACACAGGGTATATGTACACAGGGTAAATGTACACAGGGTATATGTACACAGGGTATATGTACACAGGGTAAATGTACACAGGGTATATGTACAACGGGTATATGTACACACAGGGTAATGTACACAGGGTATATGTACACAGGGGTAAATGTACACAGGGTAAATGTACACAGGGTATATGTACACAGGGTATATGTGCACAGGGTACAAAATGTACACAGGGTATATGTACACAGGGTATATGTGCACAGGGTATATGTATACAGGGTAAATGTACACAGGGTATATGTACACAGGGTAATGTACACAGGGTATATGTACACAGGGTATATGTATACAGGGTAAATGTACACAGGGTATATGTACACAGGGTATATGTACACAGGGTAAATGTACACAGGGTATATGTACACAGGGTAAATGTACACAGGGTATAATGTACACAGGGTATATGTACACAGGGTAAATGTACACAGGGTATATGTACACAGGGTATATGTACACAGGGTAAATGTACACAGGGTATATGTACACAGGGTAAATGTACACAGGGTAAATGTACACAGGGTATATGTACACAGGGTATATGTGCACAGGGTAAATGTACACAGGGTATATGTACACAGGGTATATGTGCACAGGGTAAATGTACACAGGGTATATGTACACAGGGTAAATGTACACAGGGTATATGTACACAGGGTAAATGTACACAGGGTATATGTACACAGGGTAAATGTACACAGGGTATATGTACACAGGGTATATGTGCACAGGGTAAATGTACACAGGGTATATTTACACAGGGTAAATGTACACAGGGTAAATGTACACAGGGTATATGTACACAGGGTATATGTACACAGGGTAAATGTACACAGGGTATATGTACACAGGGTATATGTACACAGGGTAAATGTACACAGGGTATATGTACACAGGGTAAATGTACACAGGGTAAATGTACACAGGGTATATGTGCACAGGGTATATGTGCACAGGGTAAATGTACACAGGGTATATGTACACAGGGTAAATGTACACAGGGTATATGTACACAGGGTATATGTGCACAGGGTAAATGTACACAGGGTATATGTACACAGGGTAAATGTACACAGGGTATATGTACACAGGGTAAATGTACACAGGGTATATGTGCACAGGGTAAATGTACACAGGATAAATGTACACAGGGTATATGTACACAGGGTAAATGTACACAGGGTATATGTACACAGGGTATATGTACACAGGATAAATGTACACAGGGTATATGTACACAGGGTATATGTACACAGGGTATATGTACACAGGGTATATTAAAGGGTTAAAAACTGTTCTTTTTAGCTGTGCATACGGCTGAAGGATTTTATTGATACATACTCTTTTTTTTAATGCATTGTGGTTATTTATTATTTTAATCCCGTGTGTGCTTTTAATGTTTTAAGGTTTTTTTCATTACTTGTGATTTTATTCTGTTTTTAATGTATTTATTGTTTGTATATGTAGTTTTTGATGTTTCTGATTTGTCTGATATTATGTGGGTTGTGAGGCGCTTTGAGTGGCCTTGTGTTTGAAAGGCGCCATACAAATAAAGTTGATTGATTGATTGAATGTATATGTACACAGGATAAATGGTGCTTATGGTCGGACGGCGTTGTTGATGTGATACGCTTTGAGAGGAGGTGGTTTTTCCAACATGGAGTCACTTTCCCGCTCATACACACACACATATACACACACACATATACACACATACACACACACACATATACACACACATACACACACATACACACACACATATACACACATACACACACACATACACACACACATATACACACACATACACACACATACACACACACACATATACACACATACACACACACATATACACACATATACACACATACACACACACACATACACACACACATATACACACATACACACACACATATAGACACACACATATATATATTTACACACACATGGATGAGCACATTATGGCTTTGTGCGTGGCTGTTTTGTGACATGGAGTGAGACTGACAGTTGCATAAACAAACTAAGAATGTCCCTGCGTCGCATTTACCATGAATAAACCATATGTCCCAATGTTTTATGGATGCAGATGAATACCATGTGTTTACAGACATATGGAAAAGAAGGGTTTTCTCTCTGTCATTATTCCATAGCATTGGACATTTGCTGCAAACACACTGTTTTATTGTTTCTCTTGAATGGGAAGAAATGCATACTGATTGTGTTAATTTTCTTTGCTGGAGCTGTTGCAGCATGTTTTAAATCTGCGGTGGAGCAGAGGTTGGAGCCCGGGCTTCATGGTGGAGCAGAGGTTAGAGCCTGGGCTTCATGGTGGAGCAGAGGTTAGAGCCTGGGCTTCATGGTGGAGCAGAGGTTAGAGCCTGGGCTTCATGGTGGAGCAGAGGTTAGAGCCTGGGCTTCATGGTGGAGCAGAGGTTAGAGCCTGGGCTTCATGTGGTGGAGCATGGTGAGGTTGGAGCCCGGGCTTCATGGTGGAGCAGAGGTTAGAGCCTGGGCTTCATGGTGGAGCAGAGGTTAAGCCGGAGCCAGAGGGCCTGGGCTTCATGGTGGAGCAGAGGTTAGAGCCTGGGCTTCATGGTGGAGCAGAGGTTAGAGCCTGGGCTTCATGGTGGAGCAGAGGTTAGAGCCTGGGCTTCATGGTGGAGCAGAGGTTAGAGCCTGGGCTTCATGGTGGAGCAGAGGTTAGAGCCTGGGCTTCATGGTGGGAGCAGAGGTTTGAGCCTGGGCTTCATGGTGGAGCAGAGGTTAGAGCCTGGGCTTCATGGTGGAGCAGAGGTTAGAGCCTGGGCTTCATGGTGGAGCAGAGGTTAGAGCCCGGGCTTCATGGTGGAGCAGAGGTTAGAGCCTGGGCTTCATGGTGGAGCAGAGGTTAGAGCCTGGGCTTCATGGTGGAGCAGAGGTTAGAGCCTGGGCCCCATGGTGGAGCAGAGGTTAGAGC